TTCTCACATATACCACCAGCCATAGGCAGGACCCACACGAACCAGCCCCCAGGCGATCTCGGGAGGATTCCGGTGCGGCCCTACATGGGGGGACGTGTCGGACCTGGAAGGAGGGGTCCAATCTCACACAATTACTCGACAGAACTAAAACCTGAGTTTTGTTTTGCCTTTCTTCTTTTTAAACGTGTCCTCAGATTAAGTCAGCCTGATGGAAGCACTCACTTGCCCATCATTTTCGTAACGTGTAACCCAAAACACCCGTGCGGGGATGACGACACCCAGCTAAACTCAAGGGTGTTCAGGCTCCAGGTCCGAACGCGGTAGTGCCTACAAGTATGGAAACGGCGAACATTCCGGGGCAAAGACACCAAGGTGAGGAAGGGACGATGAAGATACGTTCGCAGAGGTAAACCCCAGTGGCATACTCTCCCGGGACCTCCCAAGTGTTTAGCTAAAGTGGAGTTTTTCCAAAACAGCCGGCCGTCAAGAACTACGCTGGCCGTCAGACCCGACGAGACCCAGGTCCTGCCCGTCGCCCCCCGCAGGGAATAAGCCAATGAAAAGCGGGTGTGGGTGTCTAGTGAGGACAGGCGAGGCAGCACGCGGATTCTCAAGCCTTTCCTCCCAGGGTCGCCTGCGCAGGGAGCAAGCTTCTGTCCCAGGTCGGTCTGGAAAGGAGGGAGGCTCTGGTTTAGGAGACCGGCCTGCGGAGGCACGAAAGGTACCCGCCACACGCCGAGGGGGCAGAAAGGCGGGACGACCCAGGGCAGGACCAGAGCAGGGGGCGTGAACCTCACCTCTCCCCCCCCCCCCTTTCCCCCCCCCCCCCCCCCCCCCCGGGAACCCACCACTGGCCACAGGAGCCAGGGCTTCTGCCGGCTCCACGTCCAGCGTCTCAGACGAGCCTGTAAGGGGGCGCTGGGGCGGCTTTTGTTCACCATCGGCAAGTACCCGTCAGTGCCCGGCATGTGCCCGAGGGCCTGGGCAGAGCACCGAGGAGGGTCGGGGAGAGAAAGACACATCTGTCGCCACACCTAAAATGCCCACGTCGCTCATGCGGGGGAGGAGCCCAGAGACAGCCCCACCGCCCAGGAAGATGCTTCGGCCAGAGTAACGACAGGTCCCCTCGTCAAGGCCACCCTGGATTGAAATTCCCTAACGATGACATTTCACAAGGAGTTGATTTTTTTTGTTTGTTTTTTTTAATCTCAGTTCTAAAGCCTCAAGGGAGGAAAGCACTTCTGGTATATTTACAGTCGGGGCCCAGGAACACACCCACCTTGGGTCACAGTAAAGCCTCGCCCACCAAACGACCTTGCTCCCCGCCCCAGGGGCAAACCTTCTGTGTTCCCTAAGACTGGGGCTGTCCACACGCGGCCCCTCCCACCGGAACCTGGGGCTTACAAAGCTCACAAGGCCGACCTGCTGGGGGTGGGGGGGGGCAGAGCCAGGTCTCCAGCAGAGCTCAAAGCTGGTCACCGGCAACCCTGTTCGTCCTCCTCCCATCCAACACTCTACCCGGAGCTCGGAAACAGCACCAGAGCCAGAAAGACAAGGTACGGTGCGAGGTTCGGAAAACCAAAACCAGAGAGAGCAGCCTCAGTGAGAGTAAAGCGACACATGGCCAGAAATGACATGCCAGCTCACGAGGAAACAAGCGTGTAAACGACTCTGCATGGGGCTTCGACGGAGGACCGGGGGTGGGGGGCAGGGGGGGTGGGGGGGGTTGCGGTGTGGTTGAGATCAGAAAACTCACCTTGCACACTGTTACGGGCCAGTGGTGAACCATAATTAGCTTTTTCCACTCATGGTTGTCACTGTTAAAAGACAAAGGACTTACTTTTCAAGAACTGTTTTAAAGCTAAAGAAAAGTTAATTCATCTATCCATTCTCGCCATTGTTCGTTCAACAAACACCGAGTGATTGTGACAGGCCAGGCACCACGGGGAGCAAGGGACAAGTCCCCAGGCCCTCCTGTGGACAGAGGCGTTGCTGTGAGCAGGGGACCAAGTCCCGGGCATCCTTGGAGCATACATGCCAGTGAGGGAGACAGTGACGGTGGTAGCCAAGAAAACACACATGGTGCCCCATGGTGATGAGTAACAAAGAATATAGGGGCGCCTGGATGGCTCAGTCCGTGGAGGGTCCAAGTCTCGGTTTGTGCTCAGGTCGTGATCTCACAGTTCGTGAGTTCGAGGCCCAAGTCGGGCTCTGTGCTGACAGTGCTGACCCTGCTTGGGATTCTCCCTCTCTCTCTCTGTCCCTCCCCTGCTCATCTGAGCACCGTTTCTCTTTCGAAATAAACATTAAAAAAAAAAAAAAAAGGAATATAAGTAAGGAAGAGAACAGGCATGTCAGCAGGGAGGAGGGGAGCTGAAATTTTAGACCAGAAAGCCAGGGACGGCCCGGAGGGGGGGGGGGACCATAAAGTGCCTTCCTCCTAAGGCTGGCCACGAGCCTAGAAACAGAACCATCACTGTCCGTCAACCTGAAAAGAGGAAGAACCAGCACTTCCCAGATACTACTGGAACCTGACCTAAATGCGCGTCGACAATCCCCGACGCGTCGCTCCCGCCCGCACCTGCACCCGCAAGGGCCGCGACGCCGACCCCACGCCCCGGGGCACCGCGCGGGCCAGGCTGAGGCCGCACCAGGCGCTCGCAGCCGTGCAGGGGGCTCACCTGCTCGCGCCGCCCACGCGGCACATCGCCAGGCACAAGGCGCACAGGAGCAGGCTGCGAGCGGCTGCAGGCTTCATCCTGCCCGAATCCGGGGGGAGGCACACAACGTCCGGCGCCGGGCCCTGCGTCTCCCTGCAAACGGGCAGAATTCCTGAAGCCCACCCACCTCTGACCGGCTGCAGGCCGCGTCCGCCGTCCCGAGGGGGCCCCCAGCCCGGCGTCCGGCGTAGGCCTCGGCCCCCGAGTCCGCCGTCCCGAGCGGGCCCCGGGCCCGCCGACCCCAGCCCGGGGAGCCGCTTCACCTGAGTCCCCCAGCCGCGCACGCGTCTCTGCCAGGGCTGCACCGCGACCCCCGCCGCCACTTCGCGGCCGCCGCAGCCCAGTCGCCGCGGGGAAGTGCGCCTTTCCGCTTCTGGGCCCCCGGCCCCGGACACGCCCTCGTAGGCGGGCACGCCCCCGGCCAGGCAGACACGCCCCCGAGGCCCCGCCTCCAGGACACGCCCCCGGCTCGGCAGATACGTCCCCTGACGCCCGGAAGCTCCTTCGGCCTCGCACCCCCCCCCCCCCCCCGACGCCTCGCCTCCGGGACACGCCTCCGGCCCGGCCGCTCGCTCTCCGCCCGCTCGTGCTCCTTGCGGAGGAGGTTTCCGCTTCGGCCTGGGTGCCGTCCGGCATCGTGTCCCTTCCTGTCCCGCACCGTGAAGTCGACTTTAAAGGCCACCGTGTGCGGGCTGTTTGAATAAAATATGTATGTGGCTGTTCCGTGATGTCTGCTTCTCCCCCCGCACCGACCCCTTCCCCGGGGTGGGGGGTGGGGGAGGTCTGGCGCCGCATGGTGGGGGGGGACGGGGTCAGGACGAGTCAGGTGTGGGAACCGGCTACCAGGGGCCCCGCCGTACCCGTGGTGACCAGAGGGGGAGGCTCTGTGGCCCTAGTGAGACTGGGGAAGGGACGCTCGCCCAGGGGGTGCGGGGCGGCGGGGGGGAGAAGCGGGTTTGTCCCTGCAGACGGACGTGGATGCTCGGGCTTTCTGGAAGCTGGCCCGCGGCCACGTGACAGCCACGGGGGCCTCCGCACGAGGGCGTGGGGAGGCGCCTGCGGGTGAGCCACGGCTCCCACAGGACATCAAAAGGGCAGGTGGGGAGGCGTCCGAGGAGGGGCAGCTTGTGCAGGAGCAGGTCCAGGGAGGCAGCTGCCATTTATGTGAACACATCATCCTTTCGTCAATGCTTACGCCTCGCAGACTGAGACTAGGGACAGCTTCTGGGCACTTTCACTCCTCCTGGTTTCCCCTTCCCAAGTCAACCTTGACAAGTCACACTGTAATGACAAAGTGCCCAAGCCCCAGTGGCTCCTACCTCCTCCCCGCCTCCCGACTGACCTGAGCTCTGGCTTCTAATGGCCCAGCTGTGGGGGAGCCCCGCCGTGGCTCTATGCCCTGGGGGTCTGATGTCCCATCGATTTTGGCCCAAACAGGTCACATGGCCAAGCCTGGCCTCAGAAGAGTAGAAAGTATCCTTCTAAGGGTGGGGGTGGGGGCTTGCAGCCACAGGGCAAACGTCTGGGACATACGGGGAACGGTGGCAAATAGCTGGGGACAGCAACATGGTCTATAAACGAGGAGGCAGAAATAGGACCTCAAGCAAACCAGGTGGGCAAGTGAGGGGTGAGGCGTGTGGTCGTGTGGGTTTGGGGTCAGAGGGCCCCATGTCGCTGCACTGAGGGGCAGCCTGCGGGGTGGCAGTGGGGGAGCGGGAAGCACAGGGGACGCTCACACTTGACTGAGCAGCTGTGCGTGGGCAGGCAGCGTCTGCTGCTGAGGAATTTGTCAGATGCGACTAATAAACACCAACACTCAGTTGTGGAACAATGGAGCGTGGGGAATGTCAGGGTGCAGAGTTTTCAAACACGTTCCTCACTGTCTGTGTGTGTGCTCCAGGAACGACACCCCGGGAGCCTGCAGGGTCCCTGCCAGCCCTGGAGAAGGGCCTCGTTGGGCTCAAAGCTCATGTTTACTGGGCGTCTCCCAAACAGACAGCCTTGACCTAGGCCAGGAGGCTCAGGGTGGATGAGGGCTTCGGGTCAAATTTGCCTCGTTTTGGAGCAGGAGGCGCACAGAGGTCAGGAGCGTGTCCTCCGACGGCCGATCGTCTGGTATAAGTTACCGTTCTCCCACCTGTTACCTGTGTAAACCTGGCTCCTCTAAGCCTCGGTTTCCTCATTCATAAAGTAGGAAAGTGATCCTCTCTAACAATGTGTCGCGATGATCAAAAGGGATGTCACTAGTGGCTTGGCACGAGCCCACCGAGCCCGGTGCAGGCTGGGAGTTCAGGGCTGCGTCCTCTCTCACCGCAAGCTCTCTGGACCCTGGGCTGGAGGGACGGACGGCAAGGTGCTCCAGGTGGGAGCTCTGCAGCTTGTTTCTTGGCCCTGAACCTGGCTTTGGGGGGGGGCTGGTTGTAGACCTTGTGTGTTAAGGGTGTGAGGGGCGACTGTGGCCCCCGTCTCTGCTGTGCTCATTCAGGGTTCTCAATCCCTAAATAACTTTGTCACCCTCCGGGGAATCTTATTTAAAAAAAAAATCCTCTGCATTCTAAGTTATTTGTATGCTGAGATAGTTAGGACACTTTCCAGATGTTTTCCCTCTGACCTTTCTCGTCTTTTACTCCCAGGATGTGTGGCCTCCCCATGCAGTGTGGCTACGACCCTGGCAACTATTTTGTGGACGTGTTTGTTGTGGGCAGTGTCTACAACGCAAGAGGGATGGGAGACGAGCAGGGAGGCCAGACCAAGGTGTCTCGGGGTAAAGTTTCTTGAAGATGTGACTAATAGTTGGAACCGCAGGGAACAGACTTTCTGGAACAGAAAATGACTAAGTCAAACAGCATGAGACTCTGAACTGCGAAATAAAAGAGTATACAAACGGGGCTGCCTGGGTGGCTCAGTCAGTTAAACATCCTCGATCTCTGCTCAGGTCATGATCTCGCGGTTCATGAGTTCAGCCCCCGTGAGATGGGTTCTATGCTGGCATCGTGGAGTCTGCTTGGGACTCTGTCTCTCTCTCTCTCTCTCTCTCTCTCTCTCTCTCTCTCTCTCAAAAATAAATAAATAAACATAAAAAAAGAATATACAGTTGACTCTTGAACAACTCAGGGCTTAAGGGCATCAATGGTGTGCAGTCAGAAATCCACGTGTAACTTTGGACTCCCCCCAAAACTCAACTACTAATAGCCTGTTGACCAGATGCCCTACTGATAATGCAAACAGTTGATTGATACATGTTTTGTATGTCCTAAAATAATGTAGAGAAAAGAAAAGGTCATTTCTATGCTTGGATGGATACCACTTTGAAAGAACTGACTGGTTTAGTAAAAGAAGTCTACCCACCCAGAAGCTAGAAAGAAGGGCACACACTTCGATTTTGCGATTGTTTTCACAGATCCTAAAAGACCTGGCTGTCGAGCAAAGCAGGTTGGCCGCACCATGTCCGGGAGGAAGGGGACTCATGACTCCATGACCCTACAGTCACAGAATTCCAAATAGGAGACTATCTCGGCATAGCCATCACCCCTCCACATGGGGCGCCGCCTCCTTCAGGGTGCATGAGGCCATATTAAATTTTATTTACTATTTCTTGAATCGTTTTGCGTTCAGTTATGTAAAATAAACTTTTCCCTCCCCTCATCATTGCCATTAAGCCTTTAGACTCTAAACAAATCGCAACGCGTCTGTTTAGGAATTCGATTTGGCTGTGTTGGATATTAATAGAAAGTCCACGTATTTTTGGTCCTTCCATAAAATATGAAGAAAGGTGCTCTTAGCATCCTATATAAAACTGTGTTGTTACATATATGTATGCAATCGAAAAAAAATCATAAGGAAGAGAAAATACATTTATAGTGTGTACCGTGTCTATTGAAAAAAACCCACGTGTAAGTGGACCCAAGCAGTTCAAGCCACGTTGTTTAAATGTCAACTGTATTAACTTTATTCTTTGATGACAAAGTTTAGTCTTCAAGGCCAAGGAATTATTACCAAATGTTTACTCAAAGGTGTATTATTTATGGTATTTCTGACTGCTCTCATAAAAGGCTCTGAAGACAGGAAAGCAAAAAGATGAGTTCACTCACCTACATGTGCACATGCGTGCACACAGCCAGACACACATTCACATGCCCTCCTGCATAGATATTAGAACAAACAGTTTACTTGGCTGTTTTTAACAATGACTTACCGTAAAAGAAATAAGCTGTTGTAGACTTCTCAGGGATTCCTACAGAACTGATTGTCCTTCAGAGAAATAGTCTGCATTATGAATAATAGCTGAATATTGCGTTAACTGTTAATGTAGCAGATATTCTAAACATTTTGGTCTTGACCGATCGTTTTTTAGTAGCTTAGAGAAATACAGATAACTAATGCCTGGGCTTATTGGAAAGAGCACCAGCTCTAAAGCCAGCCATTGAGTGGCACCCTGTGGCATTAGACAAGTTCCCGCGAGGCTGGAGATGTGTCCCTCAGGCCCTGGGGTAAGGGTGAGGGGGCCTGCTATGCTGCACTGTGCTCGGTCCTTCCACCCACCCTCACCTCCTCTGGAGAAAGATTTCCTCTGTGAGCTGGGCAGGGGCCCATATGCATTACGCATGAGGCTGCCGGCACAGAGAAGCTTGTGCTGTCTTTGAATACAAGTCCCATAATAACAGCTATCCCTTATATAGGAGCGTTTACAAGTCAATTAAAAAAAAAAATCTCAGCTCATTCAAAGAGAACCAAACGTCTTCCCCCGGAGTAGATGGAGAAAAGAGGGCTCCTACTGGTCTGGCCTCACAGCCCCCCCCCCGCCCACCCCCCCCATCCTGTACTCTCTGCCCTGCCCCTCTTCCTCCTTCTTAGGGCTCCTGTCCCTCCTCTGTGCCTCCTCGACAGCACCCTCCTCCGGCTTCCCAGATCCACTGTGACATGGAATGCTGCTATATAGCTCTTCCCTTTTCCCTCCTCTCTTTTTGTTAATTAAAAAAAAATTTTTTATCTTATTTTATTTTTTAAGATTTACATCCAAATCAGTTAGTAATAGTGAAGCAATGATTTCAGGAGTAAATTCCTTAATGCCCCTTACCCATTTAGCCCGTCCCCCCTCCCACAACCCCTCCAGTAACCCTCTGTTTGTTCTCCATATTTAAGAGTCTCTTATGTGTTGTCCCCCTCCTTGGTTTTACATTATTTTTGCTTCCCTTCCCTTGTGTCTGTCTGTTTTGTATCTTAAAGTCCTCATATGAGTGAAGTCACAGGGTATTGGTCTTTCTCTGACTTACTATTTCGCTAAGCATGATACCTTCTAGTTCCGTCCGCTCCTCCTCTCTTAAAGCGTTTAAATTATAAGGACAAAAAATATCTCATTAAAATGTGGTGGCACTTTGTATCGCAGAGTGGCCTTGGTCTTCCTTCCAGCCCAGAGCCTCTTCCGGAATCTTGCCTTGCTCTATCGAGATATGGAGACCCCCTCCTCCCCGTGAACCTGGAGGGGATTGCTGACCCCTGCCAGAGAGAAGGTGGCAGAGGGGATCCTGGGTGGCTCCCGAGGCCACACGGCTGCCACAGCCCGGGATGCTGGCTGTGAGGACGCCACCAGCAGGCCGTGGAGAAGCACCCGCTCGCACGGACAGAGAGACAGAGAGACGCCCGGAGAGGCCCATCTGGACGGGAGCCGAGAGCCAGCGGCGGCCGCCTGTGGGTGACCCGGGCCCCCTGGCCTTGGCCTCTTCCAGCTGAGGCCTGCTGTCATCACAAGGCGGGGCCGGTCATCCTGTCGTGGCCTGTCTGGGCCCGTGGCCCGCAAAGTTAGTGAGGTTAATGAACGGCTGTGCACCCCACTAAGTTTTCTGTCGTTTGTTCCCAGCCCTGGAAAGTGGGACAGGTAGATGGTTCTCAGCGCAGGGAGCTACGGAAGGGAGCAAGGAAGGAAGCCAGGATTCTTTGAGAGGAGTTGTTCTGTAGATTTAACTTCGGAACGGTGTTTTCGGCAACAGTTTAATTCTTAGAAAGGCAGCCTCTAGTAATGAAAAGCAAAGTGGAAGAAACGGAAGTTGGTATTGAACAGTTGTGTACCCACACGGAAGAATTCTTTGAAGCCACTTTACTTTTTTAGAAGTTTATGTATGTATGCATGTATTTATTCAGAGAGCGTGTGCGAGAAGGAGAGGGGCGAGGAGAGAAGGAGAGAGAGAACCCCATGCAGGCTCCGCACTGAGTGCAGAGCCCGACGCGGGGCTCGAACTCACGGACCGCGAGATCGTGACCTGAGCCGAAGTCGGACGCTCAACCGACTGAGCCACCCAGGCGCCCCAGTTTATATACTTATTTTGAGAGAGACAGATTGTGCTTGAGTGCCCAAGCGGGGGAGGGGCTGAGAGAGAGGAAGGGAGAGAGAGAGAATCCCCAGCTGACAGCACAGAGCCCAACACGGGGCTTGATTTCATGAACCGTGAGATCATGACCTGGGCTGAAATCAAGAGTCAGACACCTAACCAACTGAGCCCCCCAGGCGCCCCTCAAGTATATTTTCTGTAAAAAGAGAACACAAAGCCAACCAAACAAAAACCTTGTTACCTTTCCACTGAACCGTCCCGGTGGTGGTGACCGGCTGGGACCAGCCCGCACCACGACTGGAGAACCCCAGCTTCCAGGCTGGGAGAGAAGACTGGTCACCGAAAGCCCGGAGCACGGTGACACTGGAGAGAGAGAGGGGACGCTGTCGAATACCGCCCAGCTCAGGAGCGCACCTGAGGGCTCCCATTGGCAGAATCATACTTCTCCGAGCATCAAAAAAAATCAGAGTGGCAGTGCGTTAATACACATTAAATACGTTAAAATCCGTGAATGCGTCAGTCCTTCGGGGACCGCGATGAAACCAGTCCAGTATCCCGAACACCTGTGATGAACGAGTGAAAGTCACTCGTTCACTCTTCCTCGATGAAGCACACATCTGATTCATCAAATAATTGATCAGGAAAGTTCTTTATAGAGTTGCGGCTAAAAAAAATGAAGAAGGAATAATAATACTACGACATTGCCATTTTGAACCCAAAATAAAATAACACACCTGGCATTGAGCGTCAGCAGAGGCTAAACCAGGAGAGGAGAAGCAGAGGGGCATTTACAGGGGTCGGATGGGTATGCTGACCCCTGCAGCCATGCTCAATGTTAACATCAAAAGAGACAGACAAGGGGATGTGACGTCCTCTGGATTCCACACGGCAGGACACCCGCCGTGCCATCTGGGTGGCAGCCTGGCCCCAGCCTTGCACTTCTGTGTATCTTGCTTTCGAGTCATTTGGTGTTATGACCTCAGGTTTTCTTTATAAAATTCCCCTGTATCATGAAAAAACGTCTCCCTGTTGCTCTTTGCCGTGGATTCCACATCCGTTAATGTGCACCCTGCTTCTGCTACTGCTCTTTGTTGAAAGGCCCCCCGAGCCCTCGGGCGGAGACCTGCACTCAGAGATCTTAGTCCTGGAACTTTTTGCCCACGGGGTGGCCACTGTCTCCAGGCCTTGCGGAGGCCCAAATCTAGGACATACGTTTACGTTTGTCCGTTTGTTTGGTTTCAGCTTTAAAGAAAATGCATCATGGGTTCACTTCCGAGTCAAATTTAGGACGGACGGGCTCATGTTGTTACTCTGTTTTCTTCTTTTGGTATATCTTTGTGTTTCCCTTTCGTCCCTTTCAAGTATGTATTTGGCCACAGATTAAAGAGGGGACTCTAGTCTAAGTCCTTCGGAATACAGCTCGTCATTAAAGCAATCTACCCTTTGCCGCGGGGCTGATTTCGGTCTGCAAAGCCGGCCCAACCACAAAAGAGTTTACTTGGACCAGATCAAGAAGGTGACTCATAGTTTGTCTTAACTGGCTTAAAGTAAACAGGGGTTCATCATAATTCGGCTTTCATCATTGTCTTAAAAGGTCTGTGTCATGGGGGACTCATTTCGCTCATCATTAATTAATCCCCTTACCTGTGTTAATACAGCATCGAACGCAGCAGGGGAAGCCAAGAGTTCGGGGTGCCGGGGACCCGCGGAGGCTGCCTCCTGCCAGGCCAGCGGCAGGTCTGGGGCCTCGAAGGGCCACCCGGTGTGTGGGCTCTGAAACCAAAGCCGTGCTCTCTCCCCATCGTTCTTTGCCTGTCTGCCGGAGGCCCTCCGCGTCCAATCCTATCCGTTCAAAACGTGAGGCATGACGACCACAGTTAATAATGCGCTATGTCACATTTGAAAGTGGCTGGCAGAGTAGATCTTAAAAGTTCTCATCCCCAGGAAAAGAAATGTGTAACCCTGAGGCAGACAATTAACACACACTTGCTAAGGAATAAATGCAGCCCTGCTTCATCCATTCAGCCAAAAGCCTTCTGTTCACAGATGGCCCCTCTAGAGGCCAACGGACAAAACAGAAAAACTTACATTGACGCAGCCGTTTCTGGATTAGAGAGCGTTTTGCTACAATTGTCTTATTCAGTCTTCCCACACGCCAACAGGCAGGCCCAGCGGGTGCTTGCGTCCACGTCTCAGAGGAGGAACCTGGGGCCGTGAGAAGCTGGGCAGGTGCAGGAGAGAGGTCCCTGCTGGGTGAGCCCAGTGTCCTGAGTCCTCAGAGACTTTTCTCTCCTGCACCACAGAAGTTCTGGAAAATACTTCAGAAATGTTACCGGGGCGCCTGGGTGGCTCAGTTGGTTGAGCATCCAACAGCTGCTCAGGTCATGATCCCGCGGTCTGTGAGTTCGAGCCCCGCGTCGGGCTCTGTGCTGACAGCTCGGGGCCTGGAGCCTGCTTTCGATTCTGTGTCTCTCTTCCTCTCTCTGCCCCTCCCCTGCTCGTGCTCTCTCTGTGTCTTTCTCTCTCAAAAAAGAAATAAACATTGAAAAATTGAAAAATGATAAAACTGAGAAACGATTCGCTGCGGTGTGGACTCTGAATTGCTTGTGCTCCGTCCCCTGGGAAGACGTCGCTCTGTCTGGAATTCTGAACACATCGCTTGTCACGTGTGGCAGGAGGAATAACGGCCCTGGAAGGCCTCCACCCCCCGTTCCCCCAACCTGGGAATACGTTGCCTGACTTTGCAAAAGGGACGTTTGCTGATGCGCTTGTTGGGGACACCGAGGGGAGATACCGCGGCGGAAGAGAGTCAGGGGGACACGGCATGGAAAGGACTGACCCCGGTGCTGCTAGCTTTGCGGACGGGAGGGGACTTCTGAGCCAAGGAACGCGGAAAGGCCAGGCAACAGGTTCCCCCCTGGCGCCTCCAGAGAGGACCTCCGTCCGGTGCGGTACCTTGATCCCAGCCAGGGGGACGCCATCAGGCTGCATTCGTGGTGTCGGCCCTGGGTTTGCGGTACTTTGTCACGGCAGCGATGGGAGGTTTGTACGGCACGCGTGGATTTGTAACGTCACGCACCGGAGGTTTGGACCGCAATGGTGCACCGGGATATGGGCAGGTTTCCCCGTACAAGAGATGGGGACGTGTTCGTTGTCCAGCATCCGAGAGTCACCTTCCTGAATATCACACTGACCTCCTCAGACGGCTCTTTATTTATTTTTTTTTTATTTTTTTATTTTTCAACGTTTATTTATTTTGGGGACAGAGAGAGACAGAGCATGAACGGGGGAGGGGCAGAGAGAGAGGGAGACACAGAATCGGAAACAGGCTCCAGGCTCCGAGCCATCAGCCCGGAGCCCGACGCGGGGCTCGAACTCACGGACCGCGTGATCGCGACCCGGCTGAAGTCGGATGCTTGACCGACTGCGCCACCCAGGCGCCCCTCAGACGGCTCTTTAAACGCTAGGGAGCTTTCGGTGCCCATGGCAGATGCCAGCTTTCCAAAAGTTTCATTTGAAACCTCCACGGTCACCGTTGACAACGAGTGTTGTTTTGCTTGAAGTGACCGCCTGACCGCCATTCGTTCTGGGGGGGAACCTGGCTTCTAAATACTGAAGTCTGAGTCAGTGTCTGATCTGTCAAGTTGTTCTCTCAAATAAAAATGCATTTCAGCCGGCAGCTCAGCCCCTGTGTGCTTTGTGGGGGGACAGCGAAACGCTGCCTGGGGTGGTGAGGGGCTGTCCACTCTGTGGCCCTAGAGGGTTTGACACCCCAAGACGGCGCCCCGCAGAGAGGGGACATCTTTGTTATCCAGAGCAGGAGAAGGCTTCCTATTCTCAAGAGTCCTTTTCGGGGGGCTCAGTGGTAGGGAGAAGAATCCTTGGAAGACGGGCACATGGAAATTGGTCTTAAATCTCCGCCACCCCCGGCAAGGTGTGCCCGCATCCCCCAGGGTTCGAGCATCCTCTCTGTGACCTGCTGGCCCAGACGCTTTGCTTCGTAGACTGAGGGCTCCTGGGGGAATGCCCTTGACAACATTCTGTCTTGTGTTTTTTTGGTCTGTTATACATGGGTGGGGGGAGAGGGTGTGAGCAGTGGAGGGGGGCAGAGGGGAAGAGAGAATCTCAAGCAGGCTCTATGCTCAGCGTGGAGCCCAACGACAGGGCTCGATCCCACGACCCCGGGATCGTGATCCGAGCCGAGATCAAGAGTCGGACGCTCAACCGTCTGAGCCACCCAGACGCCCCTAACATTATTTTATTAAATTTTATTATTTATGCATTAAGTCATTTATTAATTTTATTAAGAGGCGTCTGGTAGAACACGAGGGCTCAGAGTTAGCACGGTGGCAGAGTGGCTGTGAGTGGCCTCCGTCCGCAGTCACGAAGGAAGCCACAGTCACTTCCTGGGCCGAGGTTCACGCAAGTTCCCAGCACCAGCAGCGGTGACCCAGTCCTTTGAAGTACGGATAACGGAGAGCAGGTGACATTAACCCAGGAAGTGAGAAGCGTGTGTGAGGAGACACGTGCTTTGGGACCGAAGACCACTGATGGCTTCCTATCTTTTCAGAGATGGCATTTGCTGGAGGCTGACCCCTAAGTAGTTCTTACCTGAGAAAAACCGAGAGGCAGCTCGTTAAGAAGGACACGGAATGTGGCTCTCGACACTGAGGCTGATCTGGATCTCGCAGCAGAGGGAAGCTGGGTGTTTGTACTCAAGGAGTCCCGCAGGAGGAAGGGCAGCTGCCTCTGGGGGTGGGGGTGAGGAACGTGCAGAAATCAGAGCTACCCTGAGCACCGGCTCATGCTCCTCCGGCTGGAGGGACCCATACATGGAAACCGTGCGTGATTATTCAGTGCTATTAAATACAGATCTGTGTGTGTTGCAGGGTCCTATGCAAACGCGGGAGGGAGGAGCGTGGTGGGATGGAGGAAGAGGTCAAAGTTCGGCACCCGGTGTCGCTGCGTGCTGGCCTTGGGCTCTCGGGTCCTCCTGTCTTAGTCCAGGGGTGCCCCCGGCTTGCAGCCTGCCCTGTGGGGCTCGCCGATCTGTGGCTATGAGCACATGGAAGTCATGTGTGGGCAAGGACTGGGTAAATGCAAGTGAGAAGAAAAGGGTGGTCTCAGAAACAGGCACCGTTTCCCTAGGCCAAAGTCTACCGACCGGCCTAACCCCTCACCACCACCTGCACCCAGCCTTGACATCCACAGGGCCCGTTCTGTGCCAGCCATGCCCCCTCGGTTCTGATTTCCCTCCAGGCTCAGGACCAGGTCTGAGCGTTTGCTACTTTGCTGGGTGGGCAACCACCCCACGTTCTGCAGCGTGGACCAACGACTGTATCATGCCCACGGGCTGGGTGGAAAGGCCCATTTGGACGGCTGTCCCGAGTGGCGTTTGAGGCTCCGTTGGTACCTGAGGCCTCGGGCGGGAAGGCTCAAGCCGCTTTCGGTCTGTTCCCATGACCGGGCCCTGAGGCGGCTGGAACTGGAGGACGCACTTTCCACCTGCTCCCCACCCCCCTCCCGCCCCCTGGGAGGAGGGAAGGCCCAGCTGGCACTGTCACCAGAGCCCCTCCCCATGGCTTCTCGGCCCAGTCCGCTCCTCCCAGCATGGCAGGGGTTCCAGGAGTCTCTGTACTGTTCTCCCTGGTGGCCGGACCAATTTGCATTCCCACCCACAGTGCAGAGGGCTTCCTCTCCACGCACTGGCACTCATCACACTCACACTCCTTTCGGGTCCTTTGGGTAACAGCCCTTTTGACAGGTGCGAGGTGGCATCTCACTGTGGTTTTCCTCTGTCGTGTTGACCACCTTCCTTTCTGTTCCTGTTTTGGTTTGCTTAGACATGTGAGCAGCTCTAGGATATCGCCTTGACCGACAAACAGGGCCGGAGCCCCGAGCTCTCTGAGATTATTATTATTATCCATTCGATGTTACTCAGGTAATTCAACAATATAATGAGGCATCGAAGCTTAGGGAAGGCTGCTCCTCCAAAGTGAGAGACTTCTTTAGGGGCAGATATGAACCGAAATGCGGATGCTGTCATGACGTGTAATTGTGCATGGGCGTGTGTGTGCACATCTCTCGTGAAGACCGACACAGCTTCCAGCTGAATTAGATGGTTTCTTGAAACTTAACAAAAAAGAATGCATACAAACACAGGAGGATATGTTCTACCTAGTGATTGACCTCTCTAGTTAATTTCACCGCTTAAGATTAAAATATCCCCCCCCCAAAAAAAATTGAAAAAAAAAAAAAAGGGGGGCGCCTGGGTGGTGCAGTCGGTTAAGCGTCCGACTGCAGCCAGGTCACGATCTCGCGGTCCGTGAGTTCGAGCCCTGCGTCGGGCTCTGGGCTGATGGCTCGGAGCCTGGAGCCTGTTTCCGATTCTGTGTCTCCCTCTCTCTCTGCCCCTCCCCTGTTCATGCTCTGTCTCTCTCTGTCCCAAAAATAAAAAAACGTTGAAAAAAAAATTAAAAAAACAAAAAGATTAAAATATCCCAAGGCAAGATTGTCCTTACTCATCAGTCGGTATGGGAGAACATTCTAAGGGAACAGTTGTCTTCCTTCCCTCCATTTAGTATTCAAAAGGTGGTCAATTACCATTTGTAGGACTCTTGACCATTTAGCTATTATGTAACTTATTACTCCGCACCATAAATGTTGAATATATGAGCTTGATTCAGTATATACTGGCTCACACCCTAAATCTTAAAGATGAGAGTTTCCAACCCCCAAGTTAAAATCTTTCAAGCGACATGAAATGGCTGATTGTCTATCAGAATAATACATTACTTAACTGTACTGGTAGTCTCTGTGTCATGACATTTGGGAGCCAGGGGCTTTGCCACATGAAAATTACAATATATGGTAAACACAAGAAGTGAATGTTAACTATGACACTAACAACACTTGAAACAACACTTCACTTGTTACAATGTTTTCACCCTAATGAAGAAATATCTTTAAAGAAAGACAAAAAAAATTTACATAGAGATAAAAGTGGGGCACACTTTGTGTCTAATATTTAAAATATTCATTTCTTTTCTATCCTTTAACATTATTTAAAAATTTTTTAATGTTTATTTTTGAGATGGGGGGAGGGGCAGAGAGAGAGGGAGACACAGATTCCCAAGCAGGCTCCAGGCTCCAGCTGTCAGCACAGAGCCCGACGCAGGGTTCAAATCCACAGACCGTGAGATCATGACCTGAGCCGAAGTCCGACGCTCAACCGACTGAACCACCCAGGCGCCCCTACATTTATTTATTTTTGAGAGACAGAGACAGCGTGAGCAGGGGAGGGGCAGAGAGAGAGGAAGACACAGAATCCCAAGCAGGCTCCAGGCTCCAGCCGTCAGCACAGAGCCCGACGCGGGACTTGAACTCACCGACCCCGAGATCATGACCTGAGCCACCCAGGCGCCCCCGGAGTAAAAGTTATTTTAAAATATTACAGCGTTCCTCTGTTTGGAAGCATGACTTTCTGGCATGATGTACTACTTACAGGATTATTTTTTATCCTCTTTTTTTTTCTTGTAACGACTCTGATGGGGTTTCACCTTCATCCTTTTCTGAGAGGCGTCTTTGTGCAACACTAGTTTTCCTGAACACGTGGAAGGGAAGACTTACTTAGGGTGGTTTTTCTCATTTTATCGTTTTCTCTCTCCTCTGCTGTTGACTTCACCACCAGTGAAAATTAGTAAAAGGAAACTTCGCTTAGGCCAGTAGGGGGAGCTCTCAGCCCCTACCACTTGGCATCATTTGCAGACCCAATAGGAAGAGAGCACCTGGCGAGTTCATACCCCCTTCGCTACTAATTTATCGCCCCTGCAGAGGAAGAAAATCTTCCTCCTCCCCCTAGCAACTGTCCAGCCAATGAGAGGCAGTCGTCGTTCAGCCAATGAGAAGCCTTTGAAATCCCAGTGTACTCCAATCCGCTTTTGGTTTGCAACAGCCCCTCCTCCTCGCCTTTGGTCTGTGAAACGTGCGACTCTTCCGTTCTCTGGACCTGCGTGTGGTTTTGCCGTAGCTTGCTTGGCCTGGATTGCAGTTCTCTGCTATATTCCTGAATACGCTTGTTTTTTTGCTAGTAAAATGACAGTTTTATTTTTTAAGGTTCACACTTAGGCCCAGGCAAATTCCAGTAAGTGTTTTCGAGGAACTTGATAAGCTAATTTAACGTCTTACCTGGGTGAGTAAAGGCCCAGCCCAGAAGAGCCGCAGCATTCCTGAAAAAGAAAAATAAAGTGGAAGATCGCCCTGTCACACACCAAGCCCTATTATACAGTTATAGTGACTTACCTGTGTTACCGGGGTAGTTACAGGCCGACATGCAAATGGAACAGAATAGAGACTTCAGGGGAGAACTCATGTATGGAACGGTGATTTATGTTAGAGACCGCGTTGCCGGTAAGCGGGTAAAGACGGGCATCTTCAACACAAATAACAGCGCGATAATTGTTAGTGTATGTGGAAAAGTGACATTTGATCCCTCCCGCACTCCAGCCACAAAAATCAATTTCAGATTGGTTAGGATTTAAATATGAAATGCAAAACCTTAAAACTTTTGGAAGAACACATTGAATAATAAGTGTCTAATCTTGGGTTACATTAGGATTTTTGAAAAACAAAGCCCCAAAAGTAGGAACCATTAAACGATGGTAAACAGAACTGCATTCACATTTAAATTTTCTGCAAACACAAAGAAACGGAAGAGGTAAGCCATCATCTGCCACGGCACACTACCAGCAAAGGGTTGGTGTCCGTAACATACAAAGAACTTCTGGAAATCGGTGACTGCCGTGTAGCTCAAGCAGGTGAGAAGACACGGAACCTCAATAGTCACTGGGGAAGTGCAAATTTAAAACACAGGCCAAAAGCAGGGGGCACCTGGGTGGCTCAGTCGGCTGAGCGTCCGACTTCGGCTTGGGTCATGATCTCACAGTTCATGGGTTCGAGCCCCGCGGGGGCTCTGTGCCGACAGCTCGGAGCCCGGAGCCTGCATCAGATTCTGTGTCTCCTTCTCTCTCTGCTCCTTCCCTGCTCATGCTCTGTCTCTGTCTCAAAAATAAATAAAAAAACATTAAAAGGATTTTTAAACACAGGCCAAAAGCAAACAGGAGTTTGTCATATGCGTTGCAGGATTTTTTTTTTTTTTTTTAACCTCAACACCCAGATTCGTCGTCTCGCTGCTTCGAAGAATGAACAGGTGGACACAGAACGAGCAACAGGCATAGGTTTATTAGAAAGGAAGAATATTAGGAAAGCTCTCGCTACAGAGACGGGGCATTGAATGCCCTCGGACTGTAGGCAAGGGTCCTTGTTTTAGAAGGTTCTGGTCGGCCCTCCCCCCTCCCTTCCCTCTTGTTCTCTCCCAGGTCCCACCCTTATTGGCTTGATAGCTCTGGGTGCTGGGAGGTCCATTCCTGATTGGCTCACCTCGGTCGTATGAGGGCTGGTCTATGGCCATATCATTCCTTGTGGGTCATATGTTTCATGGTCTATTTCTTATTTTTAGTTAGATCTTTTGTCAAATTCCTGAGGGGAACCTGAGGGGGAGTAGGTGGGGTCTGTTTCATGCTGGAGAGGAACCTTACCCTTGAGGGGGTCTGCAGTGGTCAGACCCTCCCAGCATTGTTCCAAAATGTGTTTTTCTCGACACAGGGACCTCAGGTCCCAACCTTTCCCCCTCTGCCTATTTTACTCTATCTTTCGCCATCATATATGTGCATATACAAATACACGCGAAAGACATTTTAAGAGGCTAGAGAGTTCCTTCAACGGATATATCCTGATCTTTGTGTGTTGTGTGTAATTTCACGTTCTGGAGTATTTTGTAGAGTCGCCAACGGAATGAGCCCACTTTTCGATTTCACTCACGTTATAGAAAATCAACGCCCATCCGTTTTGGAATTAAAATAGTACTGGCATCTCATGGTTTTAATCCATTTGTTTTAGTCCTAATGCATTGCTCAAATGCCGAGCTTCAGGGTCAAAGCTATTTAACCAATGGCTGAAAACAGTGAATCAAAAGCAGTAGCAATTCAAAGTAATTTTTAAAAATCCCGAGTCTTCAAGTCTGAGTCGCACACGGCTCCTGAAGCCCAGAGAATGTGTATTTCCAAGGTGTGAATGCACCACACACCGATGCGGTACCAAAGCTCTGGCTTCTGGACCAATCAACCATGGGGAGATATGCACTTGGCCACAAAAATGAGTAAATTCGTAAAGAGGAGAGGCACCCGGCTGGCTCGGTCGGTGGAGCGTGTGACTCTTGATCTCGGGGTTGTGAGTTTGAGCCCCACGCTGGGCGTGGAGATTACTTAAAAAAATTTTTTTTTCATCTAAAAATAAAATAAACTCAAAAAAGAGAGCTATGCATTGCAAAGCTAAACAAATAGTGTAGTGTAGTAGTGGAAGGAAGGAAAACACTTTCGCGTTGTTCTCGGTATTGAAGAATACCTAGTTTAAAGGCACCGGTTAAAGGGAGGGTCCGTTAACTGATACCAGTGGCCATCAGCCTCCAGGTCCTGCCTTTGAGCAGCTAGCGAAACAGGCTGAGAAAGGGGACCGCTGCCGTCTGTCCTGGTCCACACTGCCCTCTGGTGGCATCGACTGTGTCTTTGGGAGGGTGGAAGCAACCCTCCTAGTTCTTGCATTCCTACCGCCTTCATTCAATCCCTCTGTTCTATTTTAGCTAATTAAGTTACGTCATACGAATTTTGTAATGCTAAAGAATCAGGAACTTTCTATGCCAAGAGCATGCAGGTGGGGTGTCTGAAGGAATTTCCCTACGGTAGCCTCCAGAATTCATTCTCAGAATCTAGGTAGAGAGTTTGCTTTGGTGGCTCATTCCTGTCTTTCAAACCATCTTCCGTGCCCGTTCATTTCTGCAGCCCGAGTCCAGACCCTTCTTTTCTTTTAAAGCAAGTTGTCTTTATTTTTAGGGGTCAATCAGAGCTACATCGAGGAAATATATATTCGCACAAAAACTCGACTTGTGTGTCGAAGCAGGCTTATACATGAAAACCCAAACTGGAGAATAGCCTGTGTGTCCATCAATCTATGAACGGATACATAAATAAATGTATCCATACAATGGAGTATTACTCGGTAGTAACGGTAATTCATTCATCGCTGCTAAGAAACGAAGTCAGACACCTACTACAACATTGATGATCCTTGAAAACATTATGCTAAGTGAAAAAGGCCAGTCACAGGAACTCACGTGTTATATGACTTCATTTATAGACATAGGTCAGAATAGGCAAAATCAGGGGCGCCTGGGTGGCGCAGTCGGTTAAGCGTCCGACTTCAGCCAGGTCACGATCTCGCGGTCCGTGAGTTCGAGCCCCGCGTCGGGCTCCGGGCTGACGGCTCAGAGCCTGGAGCCTGTTTCCGATTCTGTGTCTCCCTCTCTCTCTGCCCCTCCCCCGTTCATGCTCTGTCTCTCTCTGTCCCAAAAATAAATAAAAACGTTGAAAAAAAATTAAAAAAAAAAAAAAAAAAAAAGAATAGGCAAAATCACAGAGACCTAAAGCCCATCGGTGGCTGCCTCGGGCTTCCGTGACTGCTAGCGGGTGGGGGAATTCTCGTGGGGAGGACAGAAAAATTCGAAAACTAGAATAGGGTGATGTTGCCCACTTTTCTAAATATGCTAAAATCATTGACTTGTACACTTTAAATGAATGAATGCATGAAATGTGAATTACCCCTCGATAAAGCTGTGAAAAAAGAGCGATTTGAACAAAGAGCTTGGATAAAACAAAACGACAAGCTGTGCATTTTAAGTGTTCTCCGACAAAACACGGAGACGAAATTCGAGAGCACAAGAAGCCAGGTGGGAAGCACATAATCAGTAACACATTCAAGGGCATCTTTTCCATTGTTCCCTTTTAAATGTTTTTTAACCCAGGGGCGCCTGGGTGGCTCAGTTGGTTAAGTGTCCGACTTCAGCTCAGGTCATAATCTCACGGGTCCGTGAGTTCGAGCCCCGCGTCGGGCTTGTGCTGACAGCTGGGAGCCTGGAGCCCGCTTCCAATTCTGTGTCTCCCTCTCTCTCTGCCCCTCCCCTGCTCATGCTCTGTCTCTCTCGGTCTCTCAAAAATGAGTAAACGTTAAAAAAATAAAAATTAATAAATGTTTTTAACCTTTAATCCATCCGCTTTGGTGAGATATGAAAATTAATAAATTATTAGCTCTCTTACCTCTGAAGACAGCCAGTGAATCATTTTCCATTTCTTCCTCCTCAACTCGAGGCTTCTTTGGGACATCCTTTGACTTCAGTGGTATGTTTCCCTTCAATTACCAAATACATTTTAAGCAACAGTATTGAAAACCTCACGTTGACGAATGCGCAGATAGTGGTGTCTTCAGCCTCAGGTTGCTCAAGGACGTTAGTGTCTTTGCACAGAGCTCCTAGCAGATTGCCTTTGCCATAGGAAAATCACACCCATTGGAGGGGAAATTCCCTCCTTGTCAACTGCTCTCTGGGAGTAGAGGAGGAGGTCCCTTTACTCTTTTGATAAAGAAGCCATTGAAATGATGCCCCGGTGACTTAGAAAGTTTTCTTCTAAAGCTGCTAAGAGAAACAAAATGGAGAACTGTGGTTTAGCTGAAAGAGGAACCCTAGCTGCTGACCCAGAAAAGGCCACATAAAAGCTGGCTTCTCCTGGTCCACTGGGCTGGTCAGAGCTGTTCCCCTCGCCCTCCCCATGGCTTCTGGTCTCCACTTCCTTCCTCCCCCCTCCCCTCCCCCACCCCTTTCTCTCTTCCCCTCCCTTCCCCTCTCTTCCCTCCCCCACCCCTTTCTCTCTTCCCCTCCCTCCCCTCTCTTCCTTCACCCCTTCCTCCCCTCTCCCCCACCCCTTCCTCCCCTCCCCTTCCTCCCCGCTTCCACTCCTCCCTCTCCTCTCTTCCTTCACCCCTTCCTCCCCTCCCTCCCTTTTCTCCCTTCACCCCTTCCTCTCCTCTCTCCCTCACCTTCTTCCCTCCCCTCCCTCCCCTCTTCCACTCCTCCCTCCCTCTCTTCCTTCACCCCTCCCCTTCCCTCCTTCCCCTCTCTCCCCTCCCACACCCCTTTCTCCTCCCCTCCCTCCCCTCTCTTCCTTCACCCCTTCCTCCCCTC